TATGCCATGCACCCGGGAGGTACGAAAATGTACCGTGATTTGAAAGAAAGTTACCGGTGGTCCGGTATGAAGAGGGAAATAGCTGAATATATCAGTAGATGTCTTACTTGTCAGCAAGTTAAGGCAGAACATCAGCATCCAGCTGGGTTATTACAGCCACTCTCCATTCCTGAATGGAAATGGGAGCACGTGACTATGGATTTTGTTGTGGGATTACCACAGACTGTTAAGAACTATGATGTCGTATGGGTTGTGGTTGATAGGCTCACGAAGAGTGCACATTTTCTACCTATCAACACCACGTATGCATTGGAGAGATTAGCCAAATTGTATGTAGATGAGATCGTGAGACTACACGGGGTTCCAATAACCATTGTATCCGATAGAGATCCGCGCGATTCACATCACAATTTTGGCCGAAGTTCCAAGAATCTATGAGGACAAAGCTGAAGTTTAGCACTGCTTTTCATCCACAGACGGATGGACAATCCGAACGGGTTATACAGGTATTGGAAGATATATTGAGAGCTTGTGCATTGGAGTTCCAAGGGAGTTGGGACAACCATTTGGAACTTGTGGAGTTTGCCTATAACAACAGTTATCGGGAGAGTATAGGCATGCGTCCATACGAGGCATTGTATGGGAGGAGATGTCGTACACCTTTGTATTGGGATGAGGTTGGCATGGCCAAACTCGAGAGCACAGAATTGGTGGAAATCACCAAGTCAAAGGTGAAGATGATTCGGGAAAGGCTTAAGACGGCCCAGGATAGACAGAAGAGCTATGCCGATAAACGCCGGAGAGCCTTGGAATTTAAGGTGGGAGATGAGGTATTCTTGAAAGTTTCTCCTTGGAAGGGAATCATCCGATTTCAGAACCGAGGGAAGCTTAACCCACGATACATTGGGCCATTTGTAATTCTTGAGAGGATTGGGGCCATAGAATACCGATTGCAATTGACTCCAGAATCGGAGAAGACACATGTTCCACGTGTCTATGCTTAAGAAGTATATGTCGGATCTGTCTCATGTACTAGAGAAACCACCTGTGGAAATACGGGAAGATTTGAATTATGCCGTGCAACCGGTAAGGATACTTGACAGGCAAGTAAAGAAGCTGAGAAGCAAGAAAGTTCCAATCGTTAAAATCCTTTGGAAGAGTGACCGAGTTGAAGAAGAAACTTGGGAGACTGAAGCCTTGATGAAGGAACAGTATGCATTTTTGTTTGAATAAGCATTGTGAATTTCGGGGACGAAATTTCCGTTAAGGGGGGTGAACTTGTGACACCGCACCCGGATGTACTTGAATTTAAAATTCAGTGTGTAATTGAATTTTTAGCGATTAATTTCGTGTAAGGGAATTGTATATTTAATTAATGTATGATCAATTAAATTATTTATCGGGCCCATAATATGGAGAATGGGCTAGCAAATAATTAGTTGGGTCATCGTAATAATCATAGAAGCTCAAATAAATGCCAACCGAAGTTGGGGAAAATGTTGGACAACCCGAATGCTATTTTGAGTTAACCTGCCAGAAATAGCAGGAATAATTGGGAGCAAGGTTTTGAAAGGCGAAATCGGTCCTCGAGGCGTTCGGGGCTAGCCTTCCGAGGCGTAAGCCTCGAGGCATAACGAGACGTAAGCCCCGAAATTTAATTTCTTAGTGTTGCTACAAGCCTATGACATATTAGAAAGTATAGATAATTTATGACAATAACATAGCTAAACAAAATCACAAGTAAAAATAACATAACTACAAAATATTCAAGTCCAAATAATATAAAACTGAAATACCAAAGTCAAAACTCAAAAGAACATAAAACATTAAAATTCTAAGACAAGAAAATAAAAGTTTAGGAATTTAAGTTTGCAAATTGACAAATTGCAACTATTAATCTTCAAATCTAAGCCTATCGTCCTCTTCATCAGTATCCAAATTAGTAATGTCATTCTCATTGTCATCTCCTTCATTATCACGGGTCTCATTATCTTCTTCAGTTCCAACTGTAAGGTCCACCCCTACACATATAAAGTCACAAAAATAGAATGAAACGGAATGGAAGTCAAGTGTAAATAATTATATTGAAGATACAAAAAAATAAAATATTAAGTTATGAACATCTGAATTCGTTGTCCATTTCATTAACAACTAATGCAAGTTCATCGGGACTCGAGGGAACCCTATGGGGTTGTCGTGACTTGTAGTCACGGGGAACTAAAATGGTGAATTCTAAATGAATATGGGCCCACGGGCCGACTACTTGACTTTATATAAAGTAAGTATAATATTTTAAATGGGGTAACCGAGAGTTATGACATATATATATCACCCTAGATGGAGGGTCTTAGAAATTGAAACATTGATTATACTTAGTATAGTTGTCATTGTACTTGTCAAATGCTTCCAAGTACTGACCTCCCCTTCACGGGGAAGGCCACCTCACAGTTTCAGGTAGGAGCTGAGCTTGCTACCAGGGCCCGTGGATTCGGGAAGATCTAGGAGAGAAGACGTGGTTTGTGCTTCCTCCGTTTCTGTTTCAAAAACAATTATAATAATGCTCATGGATATTATTTTCTGAACAATCATTTGGAGGCTTGTATGCCTAGTTATGCCAAGTGTGGCTTGAACACTTGTAATATTATTTCCGCTGCTTTAATGATTGTTTTTTACATTATGTTTGTTTATGGATGTACTATGTGTGAATGATATTCCAGACGCCTTGTGTAGTATGGATGTGTTGGACTACGGTTGACTATTCGTACTGTACGGCTAGGGGTGGACCGGTTCCGGTTCATGCCTGGGCCCGGCCTGGCCTCGGTTCATGAAAGGGGAGGCCCGGAACCGGCCTGGGTAACCCCCGAGTCTGGTCTGGGCCGGGCCGGGCCGGGCCTCGATTCTTATATTTTTTTTTTGGCTTTTCCTAATTAACCCCCAACCCTCCCCCCTCACTCCCAAACCACCCCAAACCACCTCAAATGGCCCATCATACCCAACCCAACCTAAAAACTTAAAAAAATCAAAAAAAAAAGAAAAAAAAATAATTTGGCCCGAACCGGGCCCAAACCGGTCGGCCGGTTCACGATTTAGGAGGCCCGGCCCGCCTACCTCACCGGGCCGGGTGGCCCAAACCGGGCACCAACCGGTTCACCGGGCCGGTCCGGGCCCACACAGTAGCGGGCCGGTCCGGTTCCAGGCCGGTCCGGTTCCGGGCCGATTGGCCTGACCTTAGTCCACTCCTATGTACGGCGGGTTGTTGACGTGTCCGGATAGGTCTGGGGCATGACAAGATGAATCCCCGGTAGATTATTCATCCGAGTCGGTATTTGAAAATTTATTCTTCAACCGCTCGAAAGTTTGTTCTATTTCCGGGTTTGTTTGATAGGTGATCTCGTTTATAGAACGGTGTTTAACCATATACTTCACCAAGCTCAGAAATAGAAGAATAAGAACTCTTTATATTTTATTTATTTATATTTATTTATTTTCTTTGGTTTTTCTTTGTAAAAAAATAAAAGAACAAAATAATTGCCTTTCCCCGGCAACGGCGCCAAATTTGACGTGCACTTTGTCGTGGTGTGCACTCAAAATAAATATTCACTACAACACTAATACGTAGTATAGTGAAGTAAGGTTCGTATCCACAGGGAAAGGAATGTTTCTCTTTTAATTAAATAGTAACAAGGGGGGTTTTTATGATTGTTGATGCACTTTAAATGTATTTAAACACTAAATTGAACGACTTATGTGGTTTACTTTAATAGCTAGAGATGAACACTTGGTTTTGCTTTTATTCACTTAATGAAATGTTCGGCGATCCCGGTTATATCTGTAACTATCTTCCTCTCGAATACTCAAACGAGGAGTATATCCAATTCATCGAGGGTAGTTATTAATAACGAGACGCGTTCATTAATAAAACTTATTACCGAGTCAATATAGAACACGTGCCGTATATTAACCCGATAGTAGCAATAAACTTAAGATGAAAACGATTGAGATTGATAACCTCAACACAAGCGGTTTATTGGTTTAATCAATATAATTAATTCCTCTTAGATTATTAACCATGAGACTTGCATTAATAATCCAAGTTTACTACCGTTGAAAGAACCGAATTAATAACAAGCGTATTAATCGATTGATTCTAGTAATAATTAATATATGAAACAAAACTAGTTGATCCTTTAAGTAATGCTCAAAATATTAATATGGAATTTGAATAGGAACTAATTAATATTCAAGGAAGAAGATTAAAGAAAATAACTCACAATTTACAAATCATTAAGCTTCAAAGTAGTAAAACCAAGATGGAAGAGTTTAGCTCTTCATTTGGAGACTAAACATGATGAAAATATAAAGAAAGAACTATTATAGACTGAGCTTAGAAGTATATGTGAATTGGTGATCAAATGGGAAGGAAAAGGGGTGTATTTTTAGGTGTTTGGAGGTGGCAGGGTCATTTACCCGACCGGGTTTTTCAGAAACCCGATCAGGTTTCTTGAGTAAATGCCCGGAATCTTCATTAGTCACATCTACCCGGTCGGGTTTTTGATTTACCCGATCGGGTAAAAGACAAATCATTGCCAAATCTTCGTTTTGCACGTTTAATTGCCTCCAAAATCAAATTTGATCTTCGGGTCTAGTCAAACCCGACCGAGTTTCTGCAAAACCCGATCGGGTTTTTGCAAAACCCGACTGGGTTTTTTGACCATTTTTTCAAATTTCCACTTTCTCTTGTCTCCTTGCATTTTTCTTGACCATTCCAGAATCCTTTTGATGATCTTTTACCTAGTTTAAGTTCAGAAAATCCCTAATCTAAACAAATTACAACTATTTTACAAACTAAATTATTACACCAAAAGTGTGTAATTTTCCAAAGCAACAATCAATCAAAACTAATTAAAAATACAAACATAAACATGGAAATGACATGAATGTCAAGCAATGAGTCTTTTCTTTTTATCCTTAGTGGGAGGATACTCTGCGCATCTTTCTAGGTGATTTTTCATGCCACTTCTGCCATTTTTTACTACTGCACGAATTTTTTTATACAATATTTGCACCTGTGATACCCATTATTATCAACTTGCTCAAAGTGCTCCCAATAGATTGATTTTTTTCTTTTCTTAGATGGTCCATAAACACTCACCGCAGAAGTTGATGATTGAGCTTTTTCCTTGTCGCTATATAATTTGCTCTTAGTGGAGTTACTTTCTGTTCTAAGTGCATCCAAACTCATGTTTTGAGAATCAACTTCTATGGAATTCACTTCTTCATCACCCAAAAACTCTTGACCATTTCCATCACAATCATGTCTAACATCTATTAAAAGAAAAGACAAGTAAAGTTAAGCATATAACAAAAAAAAGGCATTTAAAGGCAAAAACTAGACTCAACAAACTAAAACTCCAGTTAACTGAAATCTTAATCTTTACAAAGGGATTTTGTATATCTTAATTCCCCAAAAAACCAGCGTTAACAAAATCTATTGTTCCATAAAAAAATTAATTCGTAAGCCAAAAAAGGTTAACATACATAAAAAAATTAATTTTTTGTTCAGTCATTGCACTACTGAACAAAAAACAGCAATACATTGATTGCACCAAGACTGAAAAAATTCTTTAACAATAGGAAAAGTACATCAGCTTATTACTGTGTAAATACACGAATGAATATGGAGCAACATTATAGTATTATACTACATATCCAATTTCACGGAAAGAATAGACATTTCTGTGCCTTGAAATTCTGTCTGAAAACTACTCAACAATTGAGAAGACATAGGCTAGGCTCAATTTCTAGAAATAAGAGAACTTCAATATCATTCCCATATTGATAGTGATGCCTGAATTACCCTGAAGAGGCACTAGTTCGTTCACATCTACAAAATGCAACAGAAATGGAAATTGACTGCTGAACAAAACACCAACCAATTAATCAAGGAACAATTCAGTTCAATATTGGTTTGGCTTTCTTTGTATCATATTCTAGAAAACAAGACCGGATATCTCAATAACACATTGAAGCAAAGCTTGTCCTACATATAGAATCATCATCATCAACACCTTATAAATTATAAGCTAATTATATAATGAATACAAGGTATAGTTAGTGTTCTTGCAGCAACCTATAGTTTAAAATCTTCCGTGGAAGAACATCAATCTTTAACTATCTCTGTGAACATAAATAGAAAGAACACAGGGCAAGTTCTACTTGTATACAGACTAAACTCCATAATAGTTACAAAGTATAATATAAAATCACACGCTAAACATTATAAAATGCAGTTAAATATAATCAAATAATCAATTAATTACTTCGATTTCATACTGATAAAACAACAACGCTTAAACTTTAGGTTTGAGGGAGGAATAATTTAGGATCGGAAAATAAATTTAAGAATTGGGAAGATTTTAGGCCCGAGGGAGGAATAATTTGGACAAGAAGTGGGGACAGACTTTGATTCAAGGGAGGATAAAATACCTCGACAGATACATGTCGTTTGAGCTACTGTAGTTAAGAAGAGCTCGATCGCCTAAAAGATAACATCGGATCGAGAGATTGCAGTTCCTGTATATCAAAGAAGAAAGGTTGGCAGAGGCTGGAGATCGAAAAAGAACGACAACGTATTGGTCCTTCTCGTCGTTTTCGTCGTTCTTGCTTGCGACCTAAAGCATGAGATCGAAGAAGAACACCAACTGGGCGGAGTGTGGTTTGACTTCGGTAAACAGACGATATTTCTTTCAAAATGGTAAACCGACAATCATTCATTTGATTGGACCACATCACTTTATCATTTTTAATTAATAATTCAACTGCTACATTCTCATTGGACCATGTGGACAAAGGTATGGTACCTTATGGGTACCATAGAATCTACCTTTATTCAATCAGTTAATTGAACCGTGACTTTTTTAAAAAAATGATACGACTAACCGGGAAAATTATGGGTTTTCGGTTTTCTCCGACGCCTACTAATCACAACCAACATTCACAAGGAGTACGAAATACCACGAATGGCATTATAGATCTCCTAATTAGCAATGAATCTACTACTACCAACATAGTGTGGCAGTAGACTTTTCAACGTTCTCTCCCTATCCTCTGGCCTCTGGCACAACATTACACACTGATGAGATTGTTGTAAGTTGTATGGCATGGAATTTGAAACCTAGAAGATCCATCCCTGAGGTGTGAACCTTTTTTGGCTTGGCTTTCAATCTTATCAATGTTGAGACTTGGAGGAATAAAAACAATTTTTATTAATATAAAATATTGAGTACAAAGATGGGGAGTCTCTCTTACTCTCACTCTTGAAGATGCTTCACTCTCTTTGTGGTGATGGAATTGTGTCCATCTACCTCTATTTATACTAGGCTAAGAAGGTGAGAGTGTTTCTAGAACCTCCCACATTAATTACATTCTAGAGTCTTCTCACATTAATTACATTCTAGAGTATTTCTTTCTAACTCATATTTAATACACTATCTAGAGAATTCTACACAACTTTGAGTACTTAATAAAGAAGATTATAGAAGATTCTAGAGAGTCGTTGATGATGGATAGTGTACCCGGGAGTAGCTTATCTGAGGGATATTATAAGAAATAAGTGAGAGAGAGTATGTATGTATTAAATGAGTTCGATCTGGGATTGGGATCCCTTACAATGAAGAAGAGGCTAGCTATTTATAGTTGCCATAAATGCGGTGTGAATAATGCAAGTACATGTGTCAAGTAGTCAGCGGTGGAGAGTCAGCTAAGCTAGGGTGGCACTGACATAGCACGTGGCCGCATTCAATGCGGCCGTTTGGGTGTGACGTTGTATTTAATGCGGTGATTCAGCGCATGTGGAGAGGAGATCCTATCAAGGAGAGTGTCCTCGGCTACATGCACCCAGGGGCTGCATGTGCCGAAGGCCATGTTTGTCATGTACGGGCCAAAGGATGTCTGTGCCGAAGGCCGTACGTACCTAGGACCATTTGGGCCTTGGTGACGTGCTGAGGATGTACGTCCCATGTGCTGGAGGACGTACGTCCCTGGGTCTTCCATGTGTTGGAGGATGCACGTCCCCTGGGGGCTTGCATGTGCTGAGGACGTACGTCCCCTGGGGGTGACATGTGCTGAAGGATGTACGTTCCCTGAGATCGTACGTAGCTGAGGAGGAGTTCAAGCGCTAGAGGACGTACGTCCTCGGGTGGCCGTCATGTGGTGAAGGGCGTACGTCCCCAAAGTGCCGTACGTAGCTGGAGCTCTTCATGTATTAGAGGTCGTACGTATCCAGGGCTCTTCATGTGTTAGAGGTCGTACGTACCCAAGGCTCTTCATGTGTTAGAGGCCGTACGTACCCAAGGCTCTCCATGTGTTAGAGGTCGTACGTACCCAGGGCTCTTCAGGCCGTACATCCCCTACACCTTGTTGTAGTATGGGTTGTTCGGAGTCCAGTTTTGCTTTGGTTGGGCCACTTGGGCCTGTTGGGCCTGATTGTAGTAGTGCAAGTATGTGGGTCGGGGGTTCGTGGGCCATATACTCCATTAGTTCACTTTTCAACACTCCCCCTCAACGACTGCTCTATCTTATTGTAGATCTTGCAACCATGCCAAGTTGATCCCTCAAGGTCTCGAATTGCGTAGTGTTTAGTCCTTTAGTGAACAAATAAGCTGTTGGTCCTGGTTACACATGGTACAGTCTAGAGGGGGGTGAATAGACCGTACTGGTTTTAAACTTTTTCAAGCTAAGTACCAGATTAACAGAATAGCCTGTTCTGTTGACAGAACAGACTGGCAGCGAATGGTATTCTGGTAGGGGTTCTATCCGGTTAGCCTCACAGAGGTGCAAAGGCAGTGGGCCTTCTGTTAACTCACAAGACACGTTCTGCTGAACACAGAGACCTAGTCTTTGGAGTTAATCAGTTTAAAGTAAATGCGAGAAGTAAATGCAGTAAGTAAATGACACCAGGGATTTTTATAGTGGTTCAAGGAACAACTCGTTCCTCTGATTCACTGTTCCACTAAGCTTGTAAAAACGCAGATTACAAAGCCCTAGCCCTAGCACTTAAGAAGCTCTCCACGTCTTCTTCAAGTCTAGATGTCTCCTGGGATGCACTTCCTGGCTTCCTTTAAGACTGGTCCTTTTACTGAGCTTCCTTGAAGTACACCCACTTCACTACTCCAGTTACTTGGACGTCTTTCTAGTTAAAGAAGATTTCTTGTAAAAACAGGGGTTCTCCAACTTGCTTCATCACAAAGGATGTGTAGATGAAGTGCTTGAATGGTTGAAGAACAAGGAACTTTGCTCTTCATTGGATGATAACCGCTTACGCGACATTGTAGTAAAACGGAGTGTAACCTTCGGTTTTTCCCCGAGTATCGTGTCTCTTGAGGAATGCGGAGGAGTTTCTTGATTTTAACTCCAGTCACAGGTTATCGCAAATTATTGGAAGCTTTCCAAATTAAAACTTTTGATTGATTTTCTAAACTAACTTTTGAAAAAGAAAGTAAATTAAATTATGCAAAATGCTAATAATGGCTCAAAAATAAACTAAATGAAAAATATAATATTAAACTCTAAATGGATTGATCAAAGAAGGGCAATGAATTGAATTATAAAATATGGGTACATCCTTTTAGCTTGGACCTAATAATTAGGAGTAACTAAAGATTGGACTAATAATTTATTTCCTCATTGACAAGATTTAAGTTACTTTCACTAATTTATCCTACTTCTAGGCTTCATTAATGTGTTTAAAATGGTTGGCCTAAAGTATATTCTAATCTCATGGAAGAGATAGATATAACTTTCCACATTTTAGCTAACAAAATGGTCAACTTCATTAATTACTTATATTTCTCATTATAAACAATTGAATTTATTCCTCATAGACAAAGATTAAATTCTATCCATTAATTTATCCTATCTCTAGGCTTCATTAATGTGCTCAATATGTTTGGTTTAAACTATTTATAATATCATAGACAAGTTATATAATCTTCCAAAGTTTAATTAATGAAATGACTAAATCTATTAAGTAATCAAATTAATCATTTTAAACAACTAGTCCATAAAATTAGTTAAATTCCTAATTTTCGGTCAAACAAGGTCAACCCATATTCTTTAATTCAACTCATGCCCAAGGGTAAATTAACTACAACAACTCATTACTAGTTTTAACACTTTACATATAAAATAAGACATTATCATAAATCATAACAACAAAATAAAATATTAAACTGAATACTCCTAACATCTAAACTATTGTTTCTGTCACAAATAAACATCATTTATACTAGGTATTGAGTTTATCTAAGTAGGAGATTAATATAACA